TCTCTCGCACTTCTCGCCTGTTTTTTGCTTCTCTACTAACTACAATCTTCAAAAATTTAAATGCAATGCCAATCGCCATCTTCTGTCTTCTCGAGCCATGTTCTTTTATTGTCCTTTCTCCTCACTAAAGTCTTTTCATTCTCTTTCACGCCCAATAACCCCTTGTGTCTTAGTGGCATTATCACCATGTTTGGGGGGAAATAAATTATATATATATATATATATATATATATATATATATATACACACACACACACAAAGATTGTTTTCGCCTAAACAACTGTCAACCAGTTTATTACTCTAAGATAACGCTTTTAAGGCAAGCAGTTTTTGTAAATAAAGTGCTCAACATTACGAAATAGAACATTAATAGTAAATGAATTGAAATAATCATGTACTAGATTCATATTAATTTAGTAAGTATACAAAATAAATATCAAACTATGCATATTTTTTCTTGTCTTGTATGGGCAGAATATTTATTTAGTGCAGCCACTAAAACGATTTAAAACGAGATTCACGGTCATTTTTCATGTGAATAGCTGCCCCAAAATAGCTGAGCTTATCGGTCTTTGACTCTGCCATTAAAACAGCCGAGAGATGCATTCTGGGGTGGGGGGGGGAATATTTGATCAGGTTGAATAGATTTTGTACTTTCTCAGCATCACTGTACAATAGATCGGATCAGCTAATGCTTAGAAAAAAGTCAAGATTTTTAAAACAAGCCTTTTCTTCATTTGGAAAATAGAATTAATAGAAATACTTAACGGCACTTCACTGTGGAGCAATGTTTATCAAGTCAATCTAGCAGCCCATTACTACTGTGGAGCCTCACTGGGTGTCTCCTGCTTGTGGCTTTATACAGTAATTATAGTAAATATCGATATTGGAACATTTTTGATACAATGATAACATTAGTTACTGAAAAAGGTAATATCAAGCAGCGAAAAAAAATAACCTTACAATTTTACCAAAGGGCGTTTAATGATCCTGTCTATAGAAAACTACTTGAGATTTTCGGTCGAAGCTATAAATAATTTTTGCATTTCCAAATGATCACTATCGAAAATGCCAATTCCAAAAAAAAAAAAAAATAGAACTTACTCTGAGTTGATGACACAAATGAAATCCAAGCGCTTAGAAATGCGTGATGAGGAGATTGGTTGAATAAATTCTTTTATAAAGGTCAAATTCGTATCAACGTCAGTGATGAAATAATAGTAACAGCCACAAAATCTTTCTCTAAATTTGCCCTGTTAAGAACCTCTTTATAGATGAAAGAAAAGACAATGAAAATAACGCTATACATTAACGGTTAGATGGTAACTTAATACTTGATAAAGAAGATACCATTGGTAAAGATTACAATTGGTGCATAGAACACGAAATTTCGATATTTCCGAAGGATTAAAGAAAACCTGTTGAATGAAAATTGGGTGTTCTACCTGTGAATACGTGCGGGTCTTTAATAATTAAATATTAAATGATTTTATGGGTGAAATATTCATAAGTTGGCTGAATGTAATCAGACAGAAAATAACAGGTTTATTGGCTTTGTGTGAAAATTACTCACCGACTGCTCCTGGCATGATATGTTTATATTATCTGTAAGGGAATTTATGTCTCAACGCGTTATTTATCTGTTTATCTATCTTACTTTGTATTTTCAGCTTTGTATCACAAGCATGCTATAACACACAAACACATGAACAGAGAATGGAAGAAACGTATCTTGGATTTCATATAAACTATTGCTGCAAAAAACAGTAGTAATAACACTTAGAACATCTTCCCCTGATCATGACTCGGAGGTACCACCACTTTTCGCTAAAAACAGCATAGCATGATGAAAACTTAATAAAAACAAAGGAAATTTTAGCACCTTTTTTCCGGTAAAATAACACATTGATTTAGAAATTCTTGCAAAAATTAAATAACAGAATTTAATTAAACTTTCAGGAATTACTCACAAATGAATGAATTTATTTTTGAAATTATTATTTTTAAAAAATCATGGTAAAAATATTTTTATCTCTGTTACCCCCTTCCCTCAATTACTTAATTTCATAAAATTTCTAAAAATTAAGTTCCGTATGCCAAATTTGTTTTATTCGTTAAACCCATGATTCTTGGAGAATGTAAATCATCTATTTTTTTTTTTTAAACAATTATTCATTTCCCGAAAATCTGCTTCGAATCGTAAAATAAAAACTGCAATGAAACTATTATATTATTTAATTAAATAAGCTTTTAATTGCTTTTATAAATAAGATATATTAAGGACATTATAGTCTGAAAAGAACAATTTTTTCGATGAATAATGAATTTTTACAAGAACTGTTTTCATTTTTTTTAATAATAATAATTTATAAAGTTTCAAAAATCTTTTAAAAGTTTTTCAAAACTTTCACTTCGTTAGGTTATTAAGTGAAGACTATATTTACTAAGCTAAAATTGAAAAGCTTAATATAAATCATCACGCACCAAGATTTTTAAAATAATTAAGAAATGTTTTTAAAGGGATGAAGGTACCCATTTTGAAAGTATGGGTGACAATATACGACATTATCAGAAAATAAGATAGATGACTATAGTAAATTTAAAGTTAACATTCCTAAAATTAGATTACGGAGAATATTTCCAACATTTTTAAGATTACTGAGTACTTGAAAATTATATAAAAACAGCGTTCACCCATCATTTTCTTAGATTATGTTTTAGCAGATATAGTTTCCGTAGAACAACAATAAAACTGTCAATACCTTCAGAAGCACTTGTTAAGTGATTTACGAGAGTTAACAAGTACTTAATCACCGCTACTGTTTGTTTTAAAAATCCATTTCTGTTATTTTCAAGTAAATAATATTTGTTTCAAATCAGATTAATTATACTTTAAATCGGTTAATATTCCTCATATAAAGTTTCAGAAAAATATATTTTATTTTTGGAAGTTTTTTTAATAAAGAAAATTACATTGCGATGGCACATGACTAAAAAGGGCACTAATCAGCTATTTTTAGCCCAAAAAGTGAGTCGGACTCCAATCAACATAATTTCTGTTTGAAATACATTACAGAGTATCTTTTGGTTACTGGAAATAGTAAATTTAATCCTTTATCTTTCAATTAAAACGAAAATGAAAGTTTCAAGAAAGTTTTTAAATTTTAAAAATCAATTTTAGACATTAGGTTTCGCGAATTATTCGCGAATTAGTGGAAGTACCTACGAGAAAGAGGCAAATTTTATGGAAGTATCGCTGCCACTTATGGTACACCAAAAATATCTCACGATATCATGCAGCTTTGTTCATTTTCGTTCACGATGTGGGGATACAAGATTCATGTATATGCAATCTCTGTCCAATTTACATGCCTCTTCATGTAAATATGGGAGACAGCAGAGAAATTAAAAGTATGAAGATGTATAAAAATATTAAATTTTCAATGTATGTGCAACTGAGAAGTTCTATTATAAGAATCAGATGACATTTAATAAGAAAAGATGAACATTAAAACAATATAATTTTTAATCGGGGTGTTATTTCTACTTGGTAAACAGAGGAAACAAGTAACAGAATATCATCTTCCCAGATTCCGCCCCCAATTTGTGACTTGTAATTTGAGTTGAGAAGAGTCATAGATGACTGTTAGTAATCAATAAAAAATATGTTGCCAATCATGCAAATTAAGCTCATTCAAATCTTTTTTAAGACAAGGTTAATCTTAAGCTACCTGAAATGCTCATTCACTTAGTGGTTGATAGTCTTTGTTCTGAGATGAAGATTTCGTAAAAGGTATTACTGCCGTTTCTGCAGCAATATGTTTGTACAATTACACTAACACTCTCATTTATACACAAACAGAAATATATGTATAGATGTCTCTCAGATATTACTCTATATACGTGCTACATACTTGATAAACTATTAGCAATTTTTTACTAGTTTTTCTCTTTTTTATTTCTGTTGTCTTTTATCGCAACTCCCAATCCGTATTTACATCTTACGACTAATTAAGCTGGATCAAAAATTAAGAATAAGGTTCCAACGAAAATTCCGTATTTCCAATCCATGCTGCTTAACAGTCGTGGGATTTAAAAAGGAATGTAGCAATAAAAAAAGCAGTAAAATAAGATTAAATAAAAGATAGTCAAAACCTGAGAATAACGAAACGATAATGCTTCATCTAAGAAATTCAGACATACTTAACGTTATTCGTTCTCAAATAGGTTTTGTGATGATTCCATTTCCAACATCTGATTTCATATTTAAAACGTTATTTAAAGAAATCTAAAGTTTATGTCGAAAGAAATGGAACTTTCGTTTTCAGAGTTATTTTAATACATATATGAAATTTGTTTCCTCTGAACTTGTGTACTGTATATAGATAAACATTTAAAATAAGTGTGTCTGTGTGTATATATAACACAACTAGAGAAATGTGTTAATATACAAATGCGCGCGCGTGTGTATATTTGCGCGTGCGTGCGTAAATATTAACGAGCGCGGCCTACAAGCATTCCAGTACACTAGCAACACAGACGTCTACTCCCGACTCCCGACTCATGAGAACCGCTTCTGCAGGTCTCCCGGGAAGCTTTTAGCCCGGCGCTCGTTTAATATCTACACCATTGCAACCACTGCACACGCACAGCCCAACAAAGCACAATTCACTACACACCGCACCAGAGTCACAAGTCAGGTAACCTGACATACAAAAGCAACAATTTGCAGACAACCACCTAGGCATATGCAAAAGAACACACGTGCACTAAACTTGTTCATAGGCGTATATCTACTTCAGCCCATTCGAAATTTACGAATACTACAAGTACACAATCGTGCACCTATATACGGAAAAACTTACGACTTATCAAGACACGTACACTTTATTTGATACGCATCAAATACTAGAGAGAAAGCCAGTTTGTTGATATTAACCACAATCAGTCATGAAAATGTCTCAGCCCCTGGCGACAAACTCGCTGCTCCCTCTTCGGACATGGCCGTTGCCGCCATTATTTCTCTTTCTGTCTTTTCCTCTATCGTTTGCTATCTTCTTAAATATGTACACACACTCAACTCACAATGAACCGACATTTAAAACATATAATTTAAATTAACTAGGCGTGGGTTCTTCCTTTTAATTCTTTTCAAAATCAATATTATTCTCTGTTATTTATTTAATCAGTGATCTTTTTCTTATATCTATTTCGTTGTTTCGAACCGGATTCTTTCGTAATTTATATTTTTGATGCTCATGTATAAACGATACTTTATCTCGATAGAGGACACAAATTTGCCAATTATTAACCGGTAAAAAATACCTCGTCGTGTATCTTTTGTATGTGTGAACACCTTGTGCTCCTCTCTTTCTGTTGGGCTTGTGTGTGTATGAAAGAGAGAGAAAATGCGTGTACATGGGTGTTTATGGCTGTCTGTATTGCTTAGACCCGGTTGATTACCGGCTGCTCACCTCCTGTTCTCTTTTTGCTATTTCTACAGATTTTCTAGTTTTAATGTCAGCAAATAGATATATTGCAGCATCTAATTGGCAAATGGCAGAATAGTGTAAGATGGAGAAGCACACCATCTTTTCGTTAACTGCCGTCACTGTGAGAAACTCCTCCTGCTCCTAAAAGAAAAGAAAAAAAAAAGAAAAGAAAACAACAAACACTGCAGTAAATCTCATAACTATTTCCCCGGCACCGCAGTTACCATACCTGTACCAAATAATTTTTAGTTGCACCTCTCCTATCGCATCTGCCAACGTTTACAAATTCTTGTTGTCTGTTTCGACTACTACTCGCCTACTTGCTGTTTCGTTTACTTTGCAACTGCTGACGTGATTCTCGCGAAATAACGCACCTCTCTTACCCGTATTCGAACACACACACACACACACACACACACACACCTACACGTGGACAAACATAAATACACGCATAGATTTAACGAATAGTTACGAACGGCGCCAACCAATCAACATGCCCAAGTCACCTGATCATTCGTTGAGGGCACCAGCTTTATGAGGCAAGGGTAAGTATTGGTTAGCTCTAACTTGGTCCTTGCTAACACCGTCGGTGGTGGTGGTGGTGTTGTTAACATTTTAATGATTTGAAAAAGTCTAAATCACTTTTGAAACCGGCTGCCTTTCTACTTTTGCTTTCTTAACGCGAATATTCTTGGGTTTGGGTAATGTTATCTCAAAACTTTTCAAACTATTGATGTAAAACTCATTCTTTATAGACACACATAGTACTTTCGATTTAATTCATTCTAAATTAATTCATTCATTTTAACGTTTTTCTTTCAGTTAGCCATATTCAAATTTCAAAACTGGTCGTTTTTATTGGTCATTAGAGCAAAAATGTTTTATAGTAATAATGTCATAAATATACACTCACTCATACATACATTGTACCTTGAAGTATACATATATACGCACAACTCCTTTTGTATTAATGCTTTTTATATCTTGTATCTTACGAATTTCTGTCAATTTTCCTTCTTGTTTATATGATCAATGAAGGTACTGAAGTCTTTTTTGGTTTAACATACACAGATACTTTTGTTCAATTTGAATGTTCTTCTTGTTAAGAGATACGTGACTTTCTGTTTACCGTGCAGCTTGAAACAGTAAATAACATTGTTTTTGCAGGTCTTTCCTCTTTTTTTAGCACTAAGACATTCTGCCATGATCACATACACGTGCATGTCATTGAGTCATATATATATATATATATATATATATATATATATATATATATATATACAAGGTGATTGAAAAGTAACTCCCTATTTTATGTATGATGGACTCACCCGTCTTGTAAAAAATTATAGTTAAACGGAGGAGTCCATCATACATAAAATAGGGAATTACTTTTCAATCACCCTGTATATTGGTGGGATAGCGGCTCGGATTGAGAAATCGGACAGCCGAGTTTTAATTTCATTCGAGTTCGTTACATTCTCTTCCTTGGGGAATGTATGAATACATCTCTCTCCTCTTAGCTATTTTTAAATAACAAAATGAACTGGGCCCCCTATAGCCCTGTTTGGCAACTAGTCTAGAAAGCCAACCCTGAATCCAAGTCATTTAGAGACCTTGTGGCACACTATGTGTACCAGTTCTCTGTATCTGGTTCCTCTGAAAAATGTGATTGGTTCTGAAAAAGTTTCCATCACTATAATCTAATCATATGTGCATATAGTATGTTCGGTTCTAAGAACTGAGATGTTGTACCCTCATATGTAGAAAACAACGAGGGAATTCAGTGTATATATATATATATATATATATATATATATATATATATATATAATGGAGAAAAAGAGAATAACATTTTTTATTGAATATAGATTTACATACGCATAAGTAAATCAGAATTACAACTAGAAAAATAAGAAAATCTATATTAATTATCAATCTTATTTTAAGAATAGTTTCAAAACTGCATTTTGATATACATACACGCGCGCGCGCACACACACATACTTATTTCAAATGCTACCCGTGAATAAGTTTACTACCAAAATTTAGAATTTAATAACCATGAGCAGACGAACAATTATTTTATATTTCTATTAAATCAAAAGATTACAGGCGGATAATTCAAACGTTGCTTCCATTACATGCGAAATTTCTAATTTAAATAAAATAATTACAACATAATATAAGTTCGTTTAGTTTTTCCTTTCTTTTATATAAATACTCAAGGACGTACAATTCTATATTTAAAATGAGCGCCATGACGTCTCCTAATCATCTGTTCTCAGACCTTGCTAAGGATATCTGTCGTAATCTGTTTTATAATGCGGTTATGTATGTCATGTAGGTATCTAGGTATGACCCCGCCCCACACACACACTCATAGAAGAGCAAGGGATCATTTTGTTTTTCCTTTCTTTTTGGATATTTATTTTATATTTTTGTTAGATGTACAAATTTCCTTGTTGATGTACTCATAAAATATTTCTTGACATTTCCTTTCAAAAATAACTCATGGCCAACAGTCTTTAAGATCAGGTGTCAGGGATATAAATAAGTTGGTACAATGGCGTCAGTTTCTTAATTTAACTCTTGCCTAACAGAACAAAAATGGTTTTCTCGTATCATTTTTTGAAAATTCCAAAATTCATTCAGCAAGGTGAAGATGATTATAAAAATTGCAGAAAATAGTACATTCAGATTTATTAACTTTTATTTACTTAACTTTTTGTTAAAAATCTAAATAAAAGTAAAAACCGTAGACATATACTTCCAATATTTATGTAGTCTTCTTAAAATAAATGACATATCTTCTAAGATTCATTTATTTTAACTTTCTTTTGAACTACCATGGATTAAAACTACTGATCTCGACATTTATTAAGGTGGGCACAAGGTCAAATGAAGAAAAATTGGAACAAGGAAGATTGAATTATGCCTTTCTTACAAGTGAAAAGGGCATGATTGACTAAAAATCTCCACCTTAAAACGCCAACTTCGGACACCAGAGGGAAATACATAAGTATTTTAATGAAAAACATAAACATCCTTATCTCCAAATCAGAATTATCTATTAGTTGATTTCAACAGTGGCATTTTTTTATTAATTATGACTAAGCAATTTTCCATACGACTAGCATCCATTTATTGACATATGGTGTTCCATAGGCATAGATTGTCCTTTGGCATTGAAATCTGCCTTATTCTGTCTATTTCCGTCATCAAAGTGGCTCATTTGGTAGGCATTTTTATTCTCGAGGTCACAGCAACAGTATTATTTCTTTATCGGTAACAAAGAAAAGGGTAAAACAACTAAGTAGCAAGCAGTGTTGTTATAGAAACTTTCACTCTACATGTGAATACATGCCTACTATATACTGAACTATCTAATGATGCTATTACTCACAAAGAGGAGATAGATAACACGCATATACATGCATGTATGCAAATGAATGTGTGTGTGTATAATATATATATAATTTATATATATTATAAATATATATTATATATATATATATATATATATATATATATATATATATATATAGAGAGAGAGAGAGAGAGAGATATAGATAGATATAGATAATGTTTGTGTGTCATGCTAAACCCGAACTTGTGTTTTTGTTTTTTTCATTGAGTCTATAAATATGTAGTTCTTTCAACATGACTGAAGAGACTTTATTTGTCGAATACAATTATTTAATTTTTTTTATTTGCTCTCCCCACAGGTACAACAATCTTGTACCTATCTATCCTACTCCGTTCATGCCCGTCTTTATCAATGTTGATTACCTTTACAAAAATACTAACGGCCAATGTATAATAACAAAATTACTTGAATTTCATTAAGAGGTAATGTGAAAGAAATAATTTGTTTGATATATTCACCAAACAAATGAATAAATCTATGCCAGATTTTTTCAAAATTTTAAAATTAGTTTTCCTTCTTGCATCATACATTGTATTTTTTAATGATATTTATCTCATAACTTTCGTCCAACATTTCAAATCCTTATTTCGAAAGTGAAGTAGTCTATTTGCCTCGAATGAATTCATTGGCTCTTTTCTATAATTTCTTAATCTCAATAACAGCCAAAGAACAGTCAGAATAAGAAATATCTTAACACAAGTCGCTAGGTCAGGAGGTCACTTTAGTAAAAACTATAGTATTGACCTGAGTTGAGCAAATATTTTCCACGTTACAGGACTTATTTTATAGAATAGACTCCGTTTTTTGCTATCAATAAGTTTAAAGCATTTATAACAAGTAACTGCATAATGTTTATTTAAAACCTTCGTTAATTAGAAGTTAGCATGTCAATTATTCAGTTATTCAAAATGTATCATTTTTCTTTGATCGGTAAAATTATTGAAGATAAGATTACTGTATGCGACATATGTTTGAGAAAAAAACCGAGATCGTACCGGTTGAAACTTTATAACAGAAACATTTCAGAATTTTAGGATACATGCTAATTGTTTGTCTTTTTTCACTTGTAGAATTAAAATAAATTCTATATACTTCATTTAAAATGTCATTTCGATCAGGTGACAGTCACAAAATAAAAAAAATTGCACCGTTTAAGATATTTTGCCTGAAACAAACTGAGAAATTTTTATCTTGGCTTTTGATGAAAGAGAGAGAGGGAGAGAGAGAGAGACAAAACGATTTTTTCTGTTTGTAAAGAAAAATAAGTTACGTTATGTTGAAAGAAAAGTAAATAAATTACATTCCAAAATAAACTTCAATTCATAATTCTGAATTTACAAAATTTTATATATTCGTTACGAGGAGTTCATTTAATGACGCAATAAAAAATTTAATACTCATGATATTTGTTTGTTTATTACAAACTCAAAAGACACATGAATGTATAGGAATAGGATATAATCTGGAGAATTGATTTGTAAACATATTAAAACACTTGTTAAAATATCTTCTAAATTACCTGTTGCTGTTTTAACCGCTTTGATCGCCGCATTGCAGTAACAGATATGTATTCTTTTAAAACCATGCAATTTTCAAGTTTAAAGCGATTGCTAGTTTAGATTTTGCTGTTAGAGACTGAGTTGTTTTTATTGATTAACTATTTTACAAAGAGAACGCAGAAAAGGAATGTTAACTAGAATTTGAGAAAAAAGATATATTTAGTCTTTAGACATGTACAAATTTTTTGACACGGTCGTCATATTGCGATGTCGGGCATATCTTCTTCTAACGCCATCTAATGTATACGAATCGAGTGATTTAATGCGATTGTTAGTTCCTGATTAGATTTGAAATTAACGCTTATTATTGATGCATAGTTTCGAATATGCTACGATAGAAAATTTCGAACATTTTGCTGCGTTCATTTCTATAAATATGACTAATTTATATGAAAATTAGTGTCAACATGTATAGAAATTGGGTGATTTTTATTTTCTTTCTTTTTCCCCCATGTACAAGTCATATTACTTTTTGATATATATATATATATATATATATATATATATATATATATATAGTTACAAATATTGCAGTTTATTGTCTGTGAAATTTGGGGGAGGTCAGTGCCCAATGAGTTAAACACCAGCTTTTCTTATTAATCATTCGTGGTCATAACACAACATATTTAACGTTTCTCTTTTGCATGCCCTTTCCTACCTGCTGCTATGCTACTTGTATATTATTTTATTGTTAGCTGGGTTCGTCGTATATTTCTATTTCTTTTCCTCGTGTTCCTCCTCCTCAAAAGTTCAACTTCATTCCCCCCACTACTACATTGACAACAAACAAGGTTTCTTGCAACGTCTTTCTATTGTTGCCTCTTTAAATAAAACCGCATCCACAAAGGTTACCACAAACTAGATGCGTGTGTGCATACGGTTGATACTTGAGCTTACAACAAATTTCTTTCAACAACCAAAGATGTTACCTCCTCACTTTCCAGAGTTCTGCATTCCTTGTCCCAATAAGTCCTGAGGAGCCTACGCAAAAAGCGATATAACATTCTACCTGGCATCAAACCAGTAACTAGCTCAGTCAGATAGAAGAGGGCAGCAAATGAGCTGGTGGGCCAGCTGGTTTATTTGTAACCTAACTTTAGTGATAACACATTCCCTATTCCCTCCCCCTGACAAAAAAGGTACCACAACTACAATACATGCAATAACAGCAACAGCCAGAACAAAATTAACTCAAGGTTTGTCGGGAAGAATAACGGTAACGATCTTAGTCAATGCAAAGGTTACTGTTTGTAGACTATTTTACACGAGTTATTGAAAAATAATGTGACTTTTATTTACTTACTAATAAAGGGCTTTTTAATTTGACCCTCTTAGAGTTTTTGCCGGTAAAATAAAATATTACTAAATCCATATATTCCTAAAATAATAAATATTACAAATAATTTTATATACTTTCAATCAAATGAATTGAAAATAAATTTCAAATCAATCTAGTAATTTCAATTCCAGATTGTTAGTTTATGTTGATTTATTTTACGATATTAACCCTTGTTGGTCTATATAATGTTGAATTTTGTATGTGATACTAAGTGAGACTAGTAATGATCAACCATTACACTTCCTGAAATGCATTTTAAGTCTAGTTTAAAACAAGACTTTTATTATAGCGATTCTATTTGCCTCGTCGCGTATTTTTCACCAGTGGCTGTTGATTAACTCATTGAAAATCTCTATTTCGAATGTCGATTTACAAGGCAAGCGATTCCCCCCTCTTTAAGAGATTAGCGTAACATATAAACTTCTCTATTTCTTTCCTTCGACTTTGTATATTAAGTTTTATAAATAAGATCCATTAAATTATGCCGTGTTATTTTCTTCGTTGATTTTTTACTCATCCATTTTAAGTTAAATAAGAACAATAAGGATGAAAAAGATTAAGCGGGATGATTTTAAATCATTTTACGGCTTGTATATATACTTATAGTTCTCCCGTTAAAATTGAGGATAAGTATAACAATTTTTTATATTTATTAATACCTAAGCCGTAAATATAGCAAAGTGGTTTGCTTACATGCTAACTCACCCACTCTCTTGATCAGCCATCGTGGCATGCGAGAGACAAGACATTTTCGTCAAGCTATCTGGCAGTGGGAGAGAGAATGGAAGAAGAGGAGTCATGTCTTTCCCAAGAACATTAATGCTTAGTGAATGCAAGTAGCATCTACCGAAAAAAATCATTTTCAGCATCAATCTTTGTTTCCTCACATCTCCCAGACGGTTAATTTTGTTGAACGGTGAGTTTTAGCAGCTGAAAATATTAAAAAGTTTAGAGTTACAAAATCTGTGTCAGAACCATTTGAATAAAATTAAACATTTCGCTAAATTTAATATTTGCTTTTATTTTTCTCGATTTGTTTAATTAGTTTCTGTATAGGACTTAAACAAAATTGATTTTTTGTGCCTCAAGAGCAAGAAAAATTTAAACAATTTAAAAAAAAAATTCAGAGAAATTCAATTTTTAATTCAAATAAAATACCTTTACTCTCGACTGAATATATTTAACTAAAGATACAACATTCTCCGACTAATACTACCGTTTCTTTTTTGCTCGAATTAATTTTTTTTTTTTTTTTTTTTGTCATAGGTATTTGCGAACAGTCCGGCTGAAGGATACCTCCAGCGAGGAGATATTATACTTAATGTAAACAACTGTGACGCTGCAGAACTTTCTCACAAAAAGGCCCAGGATTTATTTAATAGTGCTGGAGGTCAGATACTACTTTCAATAAAAAGGTAAGATTCTTCAGTTTTTGTTGCATGTTTTTGTAAGAGAGATTTGAATACGGTAAAAAATATGTAGTCAACAATGGATTGAAACATAAATCTAAGTTTTAATCGGGAGATTTTTTTCAATTGTTTCATTGTTATGAAGAGAAAAACAACTCGAGGCTTATATAAGAAAACAACACATTAGGCTAATGTCTACTTGTAAAATACAGAAACCAAATTATCAATTAAGCAATATGATACAATAATATGAACTCACACTGTAGAGTAATGCTTAAGGAACTAGCTTCGCAAACCATTAAAACTGTATGAAGATTACGAAAGAAACGTATTGTTAGTCAGTCTTAAGATGAAAGGAGTCAACATGAAGTAGCAGTAAATTTGAAATTCCATTTTCAACTGTGAACTGTGTAATCATATAATTCATCAATGAAAAGAAGGAAACCGTTTTGTCCTGTTCAAATAGGGTATCAGACTGATGAATTTGTGCTATGAAACGGAAAATTTACATTTTTAGAAAATCCTGTCGAAATCAGCTCAAAACAGCAATATCTTTATAACATAGCTTATTTTGGCAGAACAGACAGAAGTAACCTACTTGATAAACCTGTAAATAATCATTGCAAAAATCAGTGGGCAACTGAAATGGTAGACATACACAGTACCAAAAATTGCAAACGTAATATTTTCTTGACGTGTCTATGTTTAATCAGCTTTCAAACAGTGCAGAAACAAAAGCCTGAAGATTATTCCGCCAATGATTTTGTTTGAACCATTCATAATTCATAGTCAAATACAGAAGATTTTCTGTCATAACGTGAAGAGCAGTTTGTCGTTCAAAGTTTCTGGGTCATTTAGGAAAATTGCATATTCAGGACATTTCTCATAGTATTCACTTAACAATAAAAGATTTAAAACGTTTAAGCCACTCTCATGGCTAAGTAAGTGTCTGTTATGATTCATGTTTGAGTCATTTTAAATCGAACAGTAAAAATACCCATGAAGTATTCAAAGAAGTTTTCAATGTCTAAAATATAAAAAAAAGAACCATTGGATAAAAGGTTTTGTTTGTAAATAGAAATGCCTATTCGCTTTTGTCATATTACTCTATATATGTATCCTTGAGCTCAAATACAAATTTTGTTCTATCCATACCTTCTTTATTTCTACCCAGGATATTCCCTATATTTAATTTTTTGAAATATTGTTTTTAACAGGGGTCAGTATTTAAAAAAGGAACCGCCCAAACCAAAGGACACAAAGGTATGAAATATCTGCCTCGTGATAAAGCATTTTTAGACTTGGTTGAACAACTAACAGTTTAACATTTTGTTTGTTGCATTGTTGGCATAATATAATAAAATTTATTGGTTATATTTTATTTTAGCGCCCTTCATATTCCCATTGCTTTTAATTGCTGTGTTCTTGCAAATGTTGAGATGATGACCTTTATGGATATACGAAATACATATGACTTTAAATTGAATAGACGAGAATTTGCTTTCAAAACCCTTGTCTTAAAGAAGATGCTTCTGAGGAAAGCATGTTTCGCATATTTCTACCTTTTTCAAACAAAATATCTTATGCTGTTCCCAGATGTAAACTGTTAGTTATCACGTCTATTCTTCATTCAGGAAGAATAATGCAAAAACATAGATGGCATTTGATTATGAACAAAACTCGTTATTGGAATTTCCATTTCAAATATTTATCTGAATGTTGTTCTGTCTTTCCTGACAATTGATTGTAAACAAGGGATATAAAAAGCATAACAAGGAAATTAAATATTCAAAATCCATTTAGCCAAGTTGATGTTTAGACAAATTTAATCTAACAAAAGTCTGATCTTCAATACAAACCTGCATAACCGAGTATTACACACACACGTGTGTGGAGATGGTAGCTTTGGAATATGTCATCAAACCTTTATCATGAGTGAAAAGAAGCTCAAATGGAATGTTTTGTATTTGTTTATTGTCCTGGAATCATTTCTGCAAATTCCTTTGTGGCTGACCAATACAAAACCTTTTCCTTAAAATATTGTGATTGGCAGGAATCGTTTAATCATTAGTGAAATTGTCACTATAATTAAGATTTTATTGCTTATTATCTACAGCATTTCAACCCATCACAAATGCATAAAAATGCTATACGATCAAATCTAAGAAAAGAAAACATAAAAAATTAATAAATACACGGTTATTACTTTATTATAGATTTTATTCCATCTTTAGATAATAATAGTAAAAATGTTTGATTAAAAAAATGAATGAAAACAAATTTAATATGAAAATAATCATTTTTTTTAATTTCTGCAGTTACTTGCTCAGGTTATTTATTTTTTATTTTTCAATTCAATAAGTTGCCATAAAATGTTTCCCAACTGAACAGCATGCTGATAATCTGAGTAATACGCAAGAACGTAAGAATGCCAGTTACGAAAGTTAATACACGAAACAGGTAATTTTGTTTTTACTTCCCATTTTCTACCTGAAAACATTTGCTTTGTCGATTAAATCATAATGCTTTTTTCTATTCCTATTCCCGTTTTTGTATGTTTGCTTTCTTTTTGTAGACATCATAAAATGATGCCCGGTTAGTGTTAAATTTTATTCGGAATTTTTATAATTTGCAAATGAAGATGAAACAGTATCGTGGTACAATGTGAATGATTTTACTCACTCTCTCTCTCTCTCTCTCTCTCTCATGTTGTACTAACCTTAACTTTAAAATGTCTATATATTGAGCATTTCTCATTTATTTCATTTCTATTTTGTAGATATGACTGGTATTTTGACTCGCTTTAATGCCACTAATAACGGAATGCGCTGCTGACCGCGTTTAACGGAAGGCTAAAATGTTAAATATGTCGACATTCTTTATATACTTGAAAATTATCGTAAAAAAACGAAAAAAGTTACATGCTAAACTATTTAGACAACATCTACTTTTAAAGTTTTAAAGAATTTTTCTCGTTTGATTCCTAAGGGGCCAAACGAACAACAAGCTTGATATACAACTGGGTGGATAGAGGTGGATATAGGTATTTGCTACATTTAATCTAATTCGGGACCACAAGTAAGGTTCGACTCCCTACACAGTAGTAATGATCACCTAGAAGAACTATAAAATCATGTCTACCACGAGATACACAAAAGTAGCAGACTGCAGACACTTTTTCCTACTGGTATTTACTTAATTTAGCTTAGTTTGACACAAGGCTAAAATATAGGAATCAGACTCACCACAAAGTAGTAACAATCTGTTAGACCAGCTTGCTAAACATTGCTTGAATGGTGAGCATACTTGTTGCCTACAATATATGTATAACAAGTATAGCGTTGTCCGGCACAAAGCCAATGAAAGGAAATTCGTTTTTCCTGTTTATGTGTTTATTCTACGTTTATTCTTAAACAAATTCAAATAGATGTCATTTTAGACAGGAGAGTTTACTGCACCTCCAAATGAAGATAGAATGACTGCCTTGAAATTCGACATTTAAGAATTATGGTTTTGCGTACGATTGCTCGAACACCGACCACTGGATTCGATCAGAAGTTTGCAGTTACCTCAGATACATTGCTATTCCCATTAGAATATCATGCAAATATTTACATTTTATTTTTATCCATGATAGATTACCATATAAGATATGTATCATCTTGTGTAAAGGGTTTCTTAAATGAAACAACGTGAAATATTGTACAAAATAAATGAACAGTAATTTGACAATGAAGAAAACTAAAGAAAGTTTAGTTAGTTTGCTTTTTTTTAATATAACGAACGATAACCAAAGTTCGCATTTTTATTATTATAAGAACAGAAAGTTAATAATTTCAAATAATCAAATTTTTCAATAAGAAATCCCAAAATATTGTCATATCGAACAGAGAAAAAGTATTGACGTGATAGTACTCGCCAATTGTCAATATATACAATTTTGGTTGACAAAAAAAAAGACTTCAATTCTTATTTATTGCACTCGATAATTTTAATCGGTTGGTCTTTTACACAGTTAAAATATACTTTAATGCAAAATATTTATCTAATGATACCTCTCTTTGCTTTTTTGTCGGAACTTTTGAATTTAGCTGGTTGGTTATTATTTATGATAAAGGCAACTTTTTTTTTCTGAAACAATTAATCCAATTGCCATCTTGATTTTTGTTTATGCTATTCCTTTGTGTATCATCAAGTATGATTTTTCATTTTCTCTTTAATCAAAATATCTGGTGCTTGCTTGTCAGCCTTTGTGTTGATGGCACACAATTGATATTAATTACTTAGATAAGGGTGAGTTGGAATTGGTCTGGCAATGTTGTTACTGACTCCAAAATTCCAAAAATGAACCGATAGTCTTTGATTTTTCCGAGACTTCCATATATGTTTACTACGTTGGATTGCGAAAGTAAAGAAATGGATTTAAAATATACTTGAATATCAGAAGGATAATAGGTAAATTTTATAGCAAGTTTCATTAAAAACCTTTTGTCTTTTTCCAAACTACAAGTAATGACTTCTCAAGTAATTGAGCCAAATTACTCATTTCGTTTACACGTTTTCATCACTAAATTGTAAAAATGTATTATTTGTTGATATTTAAAGCATTGTCTAGTGCTTTAGTTTTACTTACATCTTCAAATGAGAAAACTTATAGATTTTGATTGGAGGAAACTACATTAGAGAAAACACGCATGCACACACAGATCTGAAATGCATATTAACGACTGTCTCAACTTCAATGTGCAACTAAAATGGTCTCTGTTATTTACCAAACGGCTGCGCGCGTGCACGTACAGACAAATTTACAGAAGCCTAACTCCTCGCATGTCCGAACTACAATCTGGTTTACTATCTCTACTAACATTATGCATGGACACACAGCCTTACAGTTGTCATCATTATTAGTATTTTAGTAAACAGAAATAGTATTTGATGGTTACTCATCAACTAATATATTGCTTCAAAATCCGAAAATGATAATTTAAAAAAAAGTAAAAAAGCAATATTTTTCAATTTATCATTTAATGTGCACATATGTCTTTATTTAATGTATACAAACGACAAATGGGCATATTGTCGTCCTATTTAAAATTATTGAATCAGCCAAAATCTAGCAAGCTACATACAATTTTATGCGTTTTAAAAGTTAAAGCCAACTCTTCGTCTCTTTTCAAACTCCAACGAACGGCTGCACGCGCCAACGAGTCTACGAGAGTGTGAACAGTTTATTTACTTTCATGGCTAAATATCTATGCAATGAACGATAAACGTTCTACCATTTAACTCAAATGCATTTACATGTTAATTGATTTTCTTGCAAACAATAACCTTTATATGAATATTTCTGAGTGCACTCACTTTGGTAGGAAAAATATTTTCATTTAGCTTCAATAATACATGTCTTCATCCACTTGTTTACGATATACGGTATAATTTCAATTTGACTATTGAATCACTTATAACCTAGTTTAATATAAGAATAGACACGAAAGTTTATTACTGTCTACATTCAAATTAATCCGGGTCAACAATCATGAATTTTAATAATTATCACAAATGATCAACTGAAAAGATTATCTATTTAAAATGTAAATTCAAATTCTTTTTACTGGACAAGTATGGAAAATTTTAATACAGCAATTTCTTTTTCAAATATTGGCTGAACGCATTTGTAAATGACACTTGAAACACAACTATTGGTTTCTCGATTAAACTCTTCTAACATTAACATACTTTTTCGTAAGTTCAGATTTATCAGTGTACTTAATGTTATATTGTTTATGCGTTCCGATATCCTTGTGGGTATTAAAGGGAGATTTTTTATTTTATATGAATTTTTCTTTTTTGATTTTTTTGTTTTTAGTGAGGAGGAGGAAGTAGTTTGTTTCTGAAATAGTTTTCAATACTGAACTATAACCTTCTATTCAAATCAATATGTACTCAGTAGCAATTTTTTACTGTAGTTATTTCATCATCAAGCGAAACGTCTTATTCAGAGTTAGTTCATATCTTACTTTAAAACGGCCTCAAAATAGTCATAGCAGAATAAGGGGTAGAATAGAATATTATGGAAATTTATGCAGCTGAAAATAAACATATTTTGAAATGGAACTATGTATGTTTAGAGAAAAATTATTTCCAGGATTATTATCATCAAAATGCAAATCAAGGTGCAAATCGTGAAATGAACAAAAAAGTGACAATATACAAACTTTGAAATATGAAACTGACGTGGACAGTAAGTTAATGCGGTGAGAATAAAGATTCAGCCCTCACTCTTTCAAATCTATGTTTTTCCTTACTTATATAGTCAAATATATATCGTTGTTGGTTTTTCCTTCTACAGCCTAAACCCTCTGTCAGTGCCTCACCAGGCCAGAAGATGGCTCCCACCCTCAAATCCAACCGTAAAGTTGGGTCAAAAAGTTCGTCCTCGGCAAAATCCAAGGACATTGCTTATGGCGGAGGTGGACTTGATTTCGGACTCGATTACAGCAAAGTGAAAGTAGACGCCAACTATGTGCCTGGCCCAATTTTCAATGAAGAGGAGGCCGAGCAAGAAGACATGGATCAGGTAGAAAGAAAAAAAAAGCAAAAAGATGGTGACAAGAATATTGTTTTCCCTATTTCATTCTTGTGCTGTAGTCGCCAATCTCTTTCCTTTTTACCTTAATGAAATAGTCAATAGCCTTGTCTTGTTTTTTTTTTACCTCTTTTTTAAAAATTTTTCGTCCTTGTGCAGCTTTGGTGTGTAGCACGCCATCAGACGTCACTAACACGCGTCATCCTATTTTCCTTACCCGTTCTTAGGGTATAGATGCATCCTATTTTACAACCATTTTTATATCGTCAACATTTTCATTATTTTTCTCTTTTCTTTCTTTTTGTCTCTTTTAGTTCCATGTTTTTAAACGTTCAAAATTAAAAGAGGGCTTATGATTGAATATGTATCCCGCTATATTTTTGTTGCTAACAAATATATAAATATTCAGTAGTCACGGTCACATTGTCAGCTTGTACAATTGTTCATTGACTAATCAGAATATTTGAAGATTCAATTTGTTATGATCCTAAAATAGAGCAATATTTTCTACTAATAATCGAGCTTTCTGGCCTCTAGCATTTTCTTAATGACAGTTCGCAACTATACTGACCACAGGAAAAGTTTTTTAAATGTTATCAATGTAAAAAATGTATATCAAACTAAAATTAAGGAATAAAAATATGTTTGGGAAAAAGGATGATGTGATTTTTTATTAATAAGTTCCATCCAGCATTTTACGCTCAGTGCACAAACTGCGCTGCATGGAAGATTCAGCTGCTCTGCCATTCACTATGCACACGCAAATGCCATAAAAAAAAACAAGTAACAGCATGCCTTCGCATATGGCACTTATGGATTACGTTCAAGCAAAATGCATGTCGAAAATGTATGAAAGTCGACACTTGGTGTCCAGTTCAGCCTTAAAAAATTATAGATTTTCACCCAAAATGCATATAGATGCACACAGTATATTAAATTAGTATATCTGACATTGTCCGGTTTAATTATACAGCAAGTATAATTAATATATGGGCGCTTTCTGAAACAATCGTACAATTAAGTGTTGTTCTTTTATACCGCCTTTCTCTGAGCTATTTTTTGCAAATGCTTTTTAAAAACAATAACTTATAAGGCAACAACATCTATTTTTTGTTTTGTTTTTGCTTTTTTTAATGAGATATGCCTGTTTCTTAGCACTCAATCTATGCACCCGGCTCGAATTATTTCTCCTTGTTACTGCTGAAATTTCCCATCGTAGTATTTGAGCCCATTTATAAAATCTGAACATTCATTATCATTTTTGCATCATATTCGAAAAGAAATCACTGACTGCAAATGATTCATTACTTTTTTTACCTGATACTTTATCGTTTGTAACTTAGGCTGTTAAGTATATATATATATATATATATATATATATATATATATATATATATATATATATAACTTATGTATGTGTAAAACAGGCAAGAATGCACTACTGTAAGAATTTGTTCATATGAATATGATCAAATTAGCTTTCACTTAACGGTAACGCAACATTTTGTTGTAAGCACTTCTATTTTGATATTTAGCAAGCTTAGCAAAGTGTGGTACAAGGCTACAAGAGCAGGTCACTCTGTGAAGGACGGATTCGCCACACAAGCGAGTGGCCTCGCAAGAAAAGCTGATTATCCATTACTCTACGCAAGGCCTCCAAGGTTTCTATTCTGCTTACGCTACAAGTGAAAACAATATTTTCTGTAATTTTAAAAACAAGAGTTATAATTTATAGCAATTAAAAAAAAAACTAAGAATGAATTCGATACACCGGAAAATTTTTGTAATAAAACAATGCTTAATTTAACCAAGTTTATATCGTATTTATATTTAAATTATACTGTTTTCCTACTTATCGATTATTGCTCTGTGGATCTACGTGTAATTTCATTTTTTAATTAACAAATTTCAATTCAATAATTATGAACATATGAAAAATAGATTAGTTCAAGGTAATTATTTCGCAATAATGTGTGACATTCTTGATTTATAAAACAGTTAATGAATCATGACAGCATCCATTTATAGACACCGTCATCTTCATATACATCTTCTGGCACACTTATTTATTGATGGGCAAAAACATATTAATTAAAACATATTTCGGTTTCAGCAGTCTACTGAGACATTTTCAAAAGATATTCACTGAGTGAAACAGACGCACATTAATGCATGCTACTGCGCTCAGACACATAACGTCACAATGATTTACACTAAAATATATTTAGCACAAAATTTTCAAGTGTCTTGGCATTATTCATTCATGAAAGTCATAATAACAATTGTTACTAGAATCAAAGCACTGCACTCGGCTTGCCTTTATTAGTAACAGTCGACAGTTTGTAGCTTCTCTTGGTCTCTTTTCCCCTTTGCTCTTCTCTAACCGATTAGCTGGCACGCGACCAAGTGAAAGATTAACCAAGATGGAAAAAAAGACAATAAGCCTTTGATTTATACAAAATTAATATATATATATATATATATATATATATATATACATACATACATACATACTCACACCAGGTGCTACCAAATACTGAGGCGCGAAATTGCTTCCTAAAAATTGTTAGAAAATGAGGTTTCTTATTACCTGGTGTGGTGGAGTGATTACAAGAAATGTGTGAAATGCTTGGTGAGATACGAGAAATACTGGGCAACTTCACAGATGACTGGATTGATCAATCTGTTCAAAATCCCTTCGTGTGTGTGTGTGTGTGTGTGTGTGTAATTTATTATATAAATAAATGTTAATATATAAATAAATACATGTGCATATGTGTAAGGGTTTATAGTATGGCGCAAGACCAGAGTTTTAAATTAAAGTCAAACTCATTTTCGGAAGTAATAGCCTACGATATTAGCTTACTAACGACTGCGCTACAGTAAGAATCAATGTGTTATGTATGTGTGTGTGTGTGTGTATAAAATGAGTGCATAGTTACTCGTTATAGCAGCAATTTCAAAAGATTACAATTGCAAAAAAGAGTTCAATGGGTACTATCAGCAGCCTCTATTCTTATTGTCTTGTAATATTTCAGCTTATATTCTTATCGTCTTGTAATATTTCAGTATTTATCTTGTATGTCGGAGTTCACTCTAAAAGCATCCCTGTGCTACGAATAAGGAGTGGGAGGTTTTTCTGACTCGTTAAATAGTTTCACTTAACTGAGAATTTGCTGGTAGCGCAAAGACATGATTTTAACCAGCATTTATGTGTTCTGAATACATTTCGGAAATAAATCAAGTTATCATTTTACTGAAATAAATATGGCGAATTCTGAGTTCACCTTAGTGAGTAAAATGTTTCTTGTCGTAAGTTCTTACTTTTGATCCCTCCTTACAATGTGATCAGAGATAAAATTGTAAAAATTCACCAATACTTTCTCTAATGTACTTTCCAATAATAAGACGGAAATAACACCATATAGGGTACAATGAAGTATAACTCGATTTTATATTATTCTGTATTGTTATCTTTACTATAACACAATACTATAATTGAACACTGTTACATTATTTTTATACACCGATATATTCGAACTAGATTCCTCGTATCTTTTAATCACAATGTTTCGGTCTATGTACACTGCAACTTTCTTCAAGCACCTATCATATTCAACAATTTTCAGTAAATATTGAAAGAGACATGGTCAAATGTATAAACACGCTGATAAGGCTCACTTGTTTTAAACAAGTGAGCCTTACCAACGCGTGAGTTTAATCCTTATCTCAATTAGTGAAGAAATACACGCTGACAATGATGAATTGACAATTATGAGTTTTGAAATTCTCTAGGAAGGTCACAGGACATGACAGGTATTAGAATGACAATGAATCAAATAAAAAACGATGATCTGTTTCGGAACAGTGACTGAATGCGATAAACATCTGAGAAAGGCCCTTGGGTACAGCGACCGAAACATCGTCATAAAGACAAAGAAACTGGTCTGAATTAATTATACAATAGTAATGATACAGTCTTAGAAATTCATACAAAAATTGCATTCACCGTTGTTACGATTAAAGAAATGCACTTTGAAAACTGCCCTGCCGGCTAATCGGTAAGGAACAACGAAATGGAATGCCTTTGCTTACAAATTAGTTTCGCCTTAATTTTATGTATTTTTCAATATGCTCGTTTTTCAGTACTTGATGCTTATTTTTCTTTTTTGAACATGGGTTTGTTTTCATGCGGCAATGATTAGATAAATTTGATAAACTGTCTCGTTGTGAATGACGAAATGATACATTGATACAATTTTGTTTCCTCCATAGAAAATATACCAGCAAATGAAATTAAAATATTGAAGTGGGGGAAAATTCATAATTAAAACTTAGTTTTTCTTCAGTCTCGTATAGAAATGAATAATGTTAACATTTGAAATTTACGATTATTTTAATTAAAAATAATATGCATTTTCTTTTACTGTTGTTGAAACAAGACTGATTTAATAAGAATCGCCTCTTTTATATTTTGATATTCATACAAGATTGATACATACAACGGAAACAGCTATTTGAGCTGATCTACGAAGATTTTTCCTCAGCCAATGTAAAATAGGAAATTGGTATTGTATTCAACTAGTATGCTAAACATATCCATGTATTGAATCATGCAAGCAAAACATGTCTTGAGTAGTATTTAACCAGTTATATATGTATGTCTGTGGATGTTGATGATTTTATTGGTGAAATTTGTATAATGTATTTCTAATTTCATTTTTTTTTTTCTTGCAACTTTTTTTTCTATTTACTTTACCATCTATGGCACCCCGACGCAAATAAAAATGATAAACACAAATGAAATTACCATTCCTAACTAGGCTTACCGCACGGTTCCCTTGGAATTAACTGGCCCAGGAGGAGTATCCGGTCCTAAATTGGGAGGCAGTAGTATCGATTTGGGTGTCAACTACAATAAGCTGGCAGGTCGTCCTGTAGAAACAATCATGCAGCGACAATCCAGTAAACCATGGGAAGATCAGGAAATGCTTTACAAGGTACACGACACCTTGTCGCATATTTCATACCCTTATGCCCCACCAGGAGCCTCAACAACACCAGCTGCCCCGGGCGGAGCATCTAAAATTAGTTGCATGAATATGTATTCATCCGCTCCCCAATCTGCTGTGGCTCCACCGCCATACATACCTGGACCTCCCACCGAGCCTGAGACGAACTACGTCGATCCTTTTCCATCTTACAAGCCAGCGCCAGTGGCAGCCGAAGACGAAGAAGATTACGAGTTCGTGCCGGTCAGGCAGAGAAGAAACCAATTCAATAAAAATGACTTTATTCCACGTAAGTTATTATGCAAAGTCCAGTTTTATTCTTAATTTTTCCGAATTTCTGAAATGAAACACTGTTGCTATTACTATTTAACTATTTTACAACCATTACACAGCATGGATTGGAAGTAAAGAACAAGCTTCTACGAGGTTTTGAACTTGCATATTTTCTCTTCCAGTTTATCTTTAAAATAGAGTATTACTGATTAGGCCATGAAAACCAACAAATAGATATAATTAAGATTCAGTCATATAGCCACATTGTTCTTTATTTGATCCTTATTCCATGTCATATTGCTTGTTTACATCTAATAATAATAATAAATGTAATAGTTATAAGTTGTTAAAAGATTTAAAGCACTGCCATTATTATTTTTTATGTATTTTGTTTTTATTATTATTGATTTTTACCGAAAAGGAAATAAAATAAAAACTAGTTAAAATTAGTAGTCATATTTTCTACTAAACCATTCTCCGACTATTCTAGGAGAAATGACAGTAAAGTTCATTTAGGTTTCTCATAAGCGAATACTGACAAACAAATTCTGATGCAAATAACGTAAACCAAATAGCCATTGTTGAAACTAATTCTTTTCAAATGTTGCTTGAAGTTCTGAGATGAAATATTTTTATTATTCCATTAATTATTCTGACTAGTACCTTCATTTTAGTCATTTTCATCACTCCATATCAGCTGATAAATTCTCCAGCTTCACTCAGGAGTATGATGCATCCAGTAATATTTGAATACAGTCAACAATATTTTCCTAATTGTAGTGGGGGTGAAAGTTTTTTTAAGTTGCAGACGAAGTCAAAGCTTACAGGGTGCAACATACGTATGAAAACCAGAGAATACACCGGGTCAAATATACAAAGTTGAGGATGTTAGTTCGAACAACATTTCATATCAGAATTGTGTTCTGTATAAGAAAGACTGGAGAACTTACCTACCTAAACGTAGTAATCAAAACAACAAAAATAATAGAACAATTTGAATTATTCACGAAATGATATTTTTTCATGTCCAAAAACCTTTTTCTTAACAGATGTTAAATAAAAAAGGTAATAGTTATTAAGTTACTCGAGTTGGGTCTCTCGTTCTTATTAATCTGATTACTGCATTTCCAATCCTATATTTTCTTAAATATTCCATGATTAGTTGTGTATTATGCCGTAACGATTTGTGATACCTTTTACCAGTACTATACTCCAGAATTAATTCTAAACAACCCTAAAATGAAATATCATGCACATTATGTGAAATTTGCATTTGGCAATGATCGTATATAACGAGAAACAAATAATCTTATTTACTATTGTCTTCATCTTTCTTGAGGACAAAAGTGCACATGTAAATAATGATAACTTCTCATTTCAGAAATTCAAACAAAATTTTAATGTTTATAAAGCAATGTAAATGGAAAAAATAATACGAAAGTATCTACATACTTTGAAATGTTTTGCCGTAAACTATTTTGTATTTTCAGAGGAAAGAAAGCCTATTAAACCACAAAGGCCACCACCAGTATTCGCTCCTGCTCCCCCTGCACCAGCTCCGAAGCCGAGATCAACACCTGTAACTCCCACACCTGCTCCGACATCTTATTCTGCGCCAGTACCATTTATGCCAGCCGATGGTGAAGTAGTTAAACCGGATGTTCCTGCCTGGGCAGGAACTCTGACCAACGTTGGTGGGCCCAAACTATGGGACACTGGTATGAAACCAAGTTCTAAAAGTAAGTCCGCCAGATCAGTGTCCCCAACGAAGAAAGCAGCAGCAACCGGAGATTTTAAGCCGACCCAAACCCAAGTGCTGGATTTCACCGGCGAAACTGATGACGGCACTCGTATTATGCATTTGCAGTACAACTCACCACTGGATATGTACTCGAAGGAGAATGTGGCAGAAACACTTCAAGGCCAAACCCAGGCTGCTTTGGGGGGAGGAAACACGGTGTAAGTAACAAAAAGGACACAAATATCCAAACCTTTCATACATTTATTTTGTTTTGCAACTATGTTACACGTTTCTGAATTTGGGATTTGTTCATGCATTTAAAAAATCTTTGCATTACTTTCTGTGTGCATGGTCATCTAAACTTCATTAAGTTATTTCTGTTTTGTTTGTCTATTTTATTTATTTGAAGTGATATACCTCACAAAAATAACTGTCTTATGTTCCCTTGATAATTTTCTTTTGCATGTAATACATACATATACTTATCTATAAAGACATTAAATGCAGACAATGTATATAGTAGGTATCTTGTCGTGATATAATAGCTTGCAAACTAGTTTTGCAAAACAATTACTACTGAGTAGTGAGTCTAATACTCACTAGGTGCTCCGTAGCTGTGGCTTTGTACCAAATCTAAGCTATGCTTAGTAAATAACTATAAATCAGTTGGGTACTTCGACGTGGTTAGCAAACTAGTCTTGCTAGATCAATTACGACTGAGCAGTGAGTTTGATCATCACTGTGTGCTCCATGCTTTCAGCTACACTTAGTAAATCGCGATATAAATCAGTTATTTTTTTTTTAAAAACAGTGTGTCATGTCCACGCCGATATATAAAAATTTAAACATATACACATATAAGAGAGCGTGTTTTTATTTGTTCGCCTACTTAGAAACCGAAATCTATATAATTTAAATGATTGTTAAAATAATCTAAAAATAAAAGCTGGTAATGCATCTATTATGTTAGTGAATGCGTGCGTGCTTATGCCGAGTCTCGTAGATCATTGCGAATATCGTAGGTTCGAGCCTCACTGTCGTAGCTCTAAATGAAACTACGTTAAGCTTATTAAATATCTACAGTTTTACTGTATATGTAGGAGATATCTTTCTTATTGCACCTGTGTTTGAAAATGATTGGAATGATTTGGTTAGATATTGTTTAACGGCGTGTTCACCCTGATGGTTCGTATTTGGAAAAGAGGACATTTTTTTAACAAACATAACTCGATTATTGGACTGTTGTTTTTGTTCTTGCATATAAAAAGTGCACATTTGTGAAGTATCTTGAAACAGCTCGTATTGAAATTAAGAAAATATAATTAATGCTAGAAACATTTTGAGCGTAACCATATTTAAATCAATTTAGTAAGTATATTACATCTAAATAATATAATTACTAATTCTAATGTACAAGTAGTCTCTGAAAAGTTCTTAGCTCAATCCACTTCCCAAAATCAGAATTTCAATGATCAAACATGAAAGTATTCATTTTGGGGAGTAGGTTGAACCGACCACTTTTCAGCATTAAATGAATATTTATGAATACAGAAAATTGTTTGCGTATAAGAAAACTTTCGTTACTGTTACGTTTACTTTTATAAATATTTCCGTAGCTGTAACATTTTTATGCAAAAAATGTTGCAAGGAGACGTATAAATTACAAATACTAGACAGATTTACCTAAGACGACAATCACTTGATATAAAAACTATATCACATATATTAACGGGAAAAAAATGACTCTAGAAACGAAAAAATCACGTTGAATATTTCAAGTAGAAAAATGTCTAATTTTGCCTTCAATTCATATATCTGTCATCCGCACAAGTTAATACCGACAAATTAATTAATTCTGCTAATAAACAAAGGTTTTTCTAGTTTTAATTTTTTTTAAGTTTATGTTCAAATTTAATAGCAACCCATCAACACTTCTATCGTCCATTGTATTCATCTCTTCTGATAATAATGTCACACCTTTCCTCAGATTTTTCTTGCATTAGATGTTTTGATCATGCTTAGCTGTGAGCATCTTATGCATGCTGACTCAAAGCCAACATATTTTTCGATTTCTGCTCCTCCTGAGCGATAGTTTTCTTCTTTTTTTTCTTTTGCTATTACATAAGCAAACGCCCTGGTTGGTCTTGTAGATTGTCCATCAAATATCAAAATTGATGGGGGTTATACTTATCACAATTGCTGTTTCTTTGAACGCAACTTTTCCATGCATGATGTCACCACTTTCATTTACCTGTGCACAAGCTTTGCACTTTTAAACAGAACGCTTCTACTCGTTAACATTCAATTCCCATTTCGTTCATTGAAACCTTAAATAAAAGTGATGAGCAAGAGTCATTGGCCGCTAGAGCTTCTCTTTTCTAAAAATTCATCATTCAGCCAAGCGTTAGGCGAATATGCATCACAAAATGTCTGCAAAATTCACACGATAAAATATAATTTAGCGTATAAAATGAGATGAAAACTGACCAATATCCATTTATTTCGGAAGTTATGAAACTCCAATTCAAGAATATTTTTAATTGTTGCATTTTCAGTATATTTTTTTCACTAAAAGGAAGGAGCGTGTGGCATAATGGTTATTTCGAATTCCGGCTGAGGCTACTTATGCTCACTATGCTCTCATGCTCTTCGAAAAGGCTCACTTCACCTTCGCACTGTCCAATTGCTAAATATCTTTTACAAGCCGTCTCGTTACTCGCATGCCACAATGACTGATAAAGAAGCATGCTGGGGAGTGAGAATTTAGACAAAGCACTCACTCATAACTACTTTACCTGCCGAGGCAGTAGCAGTAAAAAATCATTTATCTCCGTATCCAATTAATCCCATCATTTTTGCCAAAGCTGCTCGCTTTAATTCCAAAGCCAGATTTTGTATTTATTCCATGAACTTCTTTTTCTCAAACTGAAGCTGAAAGCAAGCCGTGAGACATGTTAGCGTGTTCTGTTTTTGTTTTCTTTTTTCTTCTTTTTTTTCTAGATTGTCCCTTTTTAATTCATTGTTGGCTGTTCACGTCGTTCATATGAAGTTTTAGAAAGCCAATGCACTGACCAGATGTTAACGGACATTTTTGATTACAGATATTTGAAAAGTTGAAATCCATCTGCTTTTTGAATGAAAATAGACTTTTCTGCAGGAAAGAAGCTCGGAAAGAAAGAAAAGAGGGCAGGCAGACGGGAAGGAAAGAAAACAAGAAAAGCAGTCAGAAGAAATGAAACAAAAAAGAAGCAGATAAAGATCGCAAACAGAATCAAAATGGAGGAAAATGTCGTGAGTCTACTGACTGAATCTATAACTTAGTTTGATTTTTTTCAAAATCGTAATGAACCAGAGAATTTCACTTACATGAATCTAAAACTTTATTTTAGTAATGCAAGGAATGAATAATATACAGGGCGATATGCCTAATTTACTGTATCAATCGTATGTTGGTAAAAATTACATTGGTCAAAATTTAGAGGCATTTGTATATATCCATCTCTTTTTCGTGATATTTATTCCTTATTGTCGTTATATGTGTGTAAAACTATTTGACAAACGATGTCAAAATTATTTCAGGGGTGTATATGCTTCGATTAGCGTCAACCAGTTCTGCGATTAAATCGAAAAAATTATCAAGTGCCCTTAAGTGATACGCGTAATTAACACATCTATTCGTTCTGATTATTCATATTTATAACCTCATTGTTTATGACAACTTGTAAAATCAAGATTTTAAAAGCAAAAACTTATGGTTTTATATGGTGTAGTGTATATAGGTGAAAATATAAAACCGAATATTATTTTTGTAAATATCTTCGGTGTGAAAAGTCTTTGATTGGCATTACATCGAATGTTTGTGACGCAAGTTTATCGATTTTTGGTTTTGCTACGAAAATTTTATTTAGTTCCGCATATATATATATATTCATGAAAAATATATCAGTATTCTTCGTTAGAATGCACGAATATCGTCTTCTACGAGCCAGGATTTTAAAATATTCTTATAATTTTCATTAGTCACTTAATTTTTCTATACATGTTCATTTTCAAGTCTATATTTTACCCTTAATAGGTACATTTCAAATTCCTTAAAAGCAAACAAACAAACAAGCAACAAATAAAAATGATTTACATTTTTTAAGAGTTTGTCGAAAATTGTAAAAATTAATAACCGCTTGGAAATTATCACATCATTTAATTAGATCTTTTGTTTAATCATTTTATTAAGCTAGCCAGAACTTTAAATGTTTGTGATGAAAGTAATTATTTTCTTTACTGTAATGTTTTATTTTAAATTAACTAATTAAGATTTTTTCTTTTTTGAAACCTACATAATTAATATATTCTACACAATAAATCTGAGCAACAGATGTTTTTATAGCCTTTTTAACTAGTTTTAAAAAATATTGTCGATTTTATATATATATATATATATATATATATATATATATATATATATATTTGCAACAAATATAGAAACACGTAAATATAATATTGATCATTAAAATGCATCATTTTTACTCTTGCATCGGAAAAGAAGACATGTTGACTGATATGATGTCACTATTCAAGAATAAAAATGTCAAGCGAAGCTAAAATAATAGTAAGATGCTTTTTTCAGTTATTATTCTTATTTTAATGGTGATGACATCCGTTTACCTTGAATATCAATCATTATATGACATGTTTCGCCCTTTATTCAGTGTTGTGCCCAAGTGTTCATAACCGACCCATTTTGCAATCATTTTTTTCAATATAATAGAGAAAAAATTGTTTGATCATTCTTGACCTTTTTGTACAGCGCTAAAAATAAACCAGGATATTTAGTAAAACGTAATTTTAAGAAATTAAACCAAATCTTAAATTCAAATATATAATAATTTTCTCATGAGAACCTTTAAATATATTCATTTTTCTCCATCTCTTTATTACTATGATTCTTTCTTTCTCATTCACTTTACTCTTCATCACTTCTTAGTTCAATTTCTTAATTTATTGATAGAAAAGTCTCCGCTCTCTTCGTAATTAGGTATCATTTGATCATACTGCTTTCCTTCGTTACCAGTTTGTAATAATATCTGGCACAATCTATGTTGTTAAGGGAAACTGTAGACATTTTTAAATTAGTATAAAAAAAAAACAGACTAAGTTTATGAGGCATTTCGTCTTGAAATCTTTGAAATTTGCCTTTCGGCAAATGTTACTTTATTTTCAA